CGTGGCGGTATTTTGAGAGTTGGAACATGACTTATATGCGTCATGAGACATATTGCGGTCATCAGATTCGTGAAATTCCAGTTATTATGGTCGGAGGATGTTATTATGGCAAATGACTTATATGGTGCATGGTGTGATTTCAGCATAGGTGCATGATCATGTTTTGGTACAGTGTGTTGTGATTGATACGGTGTTCGTATGATAGAATCAGGTCTTGTAGAGAAATTCGGAGGTTGGAATTTGGTTCTAAGGCTTATTGACTAAATAAAAGGGAGGATCTTCAGTCTGACTCAAGATAATGTGTTTAACTAGATTGTGGTGGCACATGTAGGTGCACTAGGTGTTATACAGTGATTTTGGACAACTCTAGAGCAGTCCTTAGCACGTACGAGGACGAACGTTTGTTTAAGTGGGGGAGAATGTAACGATCCGACCGGTCATTTTGAGTTTTAGCACGTCGTTCAGTGGTTTGAGGCCTTTAGTAGCTTCACTTCAGGTATTATGACTTATACATGTGATCGGAATTGAATTTCGGGAAGTTCGAAGGTGATTTGGAAAGCAAATTCTAATTTCGAAAGCTTTAAGTTGGAAAAATTGACTAAGGTTTGACTTTTGAGTAAAGACCTCAAAATCGGGATTTTAAGGTTCCAATAGGTTTGTATGATGATTTAGGACTTGGGCGTATGTTCGAGTTGAGTATCGGGTGGTTTGGGAGCATTTCGGCGCATATTATGGAAGGTTGGCATTTTGGATGTTTAAGAAATTCTTATGTTTGATTTGAAATGCATTTTGTTTTTATCGATGTCCGTTCGAAGTTCCAAGCCTTGGAATAGGTTCGTATCATGATTTGTGGCTTGCACAAAAAATTTGGCGTCATTCCCGGATGTTTAAGTGTGATTCGGATGCGTTCGATGAAGTTTGAATATTTGAAAGATTAAAGAAAGGTTTCGGTCATTGATTCGTAATTTTGATATTTTTTGACGTGATTTGAGGCTTTGACTAAGACCGTATTGTGTTTCGGGATGTGTTGGTATGTTTGGACGGGGTCCTGGGGGCCTCGGGTGCGAATCGGATTGGAAACAGATCCAGTTTGGACTTGGAGGAACAGCTAAAGCTTAAGGCTTCTGGTGTGATCGCACCTACGAGGTTATGGCCGCAGGTGCGAGACCTCAGAAGCGGCCCAGTCACAGAAGCGGAATGGGGCCTGGGATGAAGACTCGTAGAAGCAGAGAAAAATCCGCAAAAGCGAATTCGCAGAAGCGGAACCTTGTCCACAAAAGCGAAGCGCTGGGGGCAGTGGTGTGTTCGCAGATGCGATGGTTGGATCGCACCTACGGGACCGCAGATGCGGTCAAGTGGCCGCAGGTGCGATGATCGCTGGGCAGTGGTGCTTTTTAATCAAGACCTAGCTCTCATTTATCTCATTTTCTCTTGGGTTGACCAAAGTTGAGGAGCTATTTTGAGGGGGTTTTCATCGAGCAACATGAGGTAAGTGATTCCCACCTATTGCAAGTTAAATACTTGGATTATATAAGGATTCTTACATGACAATTTATGGAAATTCATGGAAATTGTGGGATTTTAAGAGGAAAAACCTAGAATTGATAATTTTGGATTTTGACCATGATTTTGCAAAATGAAATTGGGAATAAATTATATATTTGTGTTTGTAATGTTATGGGTAATGTTTATCTTCAAAAAAATTCAGAATCCGAGCACGTGGGCCCGAGAGTTGATTTTATTGACTTTTCGAGCGAAGTTGGAAATTGTTATAAATTGTTAAATTGTAAGCATTGAGGTATATTTTGATTTAATTGCACAATTCTTGACTAGTTTCGAAACATTTGGCTTGGAATTGAAAAGTTAGATAGGCGTTGGAGTCGGTTATGGAACTTCGGAGCGAGGTAAGTCTCGTGACTAACTTTGTGAGGGGGAAACTACCCCTAGGTGATGTAATTGTTATGTTCTAATAGTTGTGGGTGCTACGTACGTACGAGGTGACGAGAGTCTGTCCGTAGCTAAAGCATGTTTATGTCCGGGTAGACTTATGACTTTACCATGTAATATTTGAAATACTTAAATCCATACTGATGGCATAATTAATTGAAATTATAATTGAATTGATTTAGAAATACATGCATATACGTTAGGCCGAGCCTTATCACTTTGAGTTGTTGGCTAGTTATTTGAGAAATAGTAAAGGATTATATTCACCTTGTACTCATGTACTGTATTGTAAGCACATGTCTCGTGATTCGACAACTTCCTTCCTTTCTTGTGGAGTGGGATGAACGCTTCGGCAGTATAATAGATGCATCTATGGTTCGTGCCACTCAACCCTCGGCAGTGTACACATTATTCTTGATCGGGTCGAACGACCTCGGCATAATCGTGCGTTATATCGCTGGTAGTCCGAACAAACACGAGATTATCTTTCTGCTGATACCCATCATTTTATATGGTATCTCTTATTCATTGATATTGGCACTTGACATTTTTTGAGCCGTTAAGGTAGGATATAAGATTGAGAAATTCATACTTTGAAGTAAATAATTGGAAGGTTATGTAACTTACACATTTACCCCGTTATCGATGTGCACTTCATATCTGTTGTGAATTATTATATTATTTTATTGGACCTCTAGTAAGTGTCAATGTCGACCCCTCGTCACTACTCCTCCGGGGTTAGGCTAGATACTTACTGGTATGCGTTGATTTTACTAATGCTGCACTTCTGCACTAAATGTGCAGGATCTGACAGGTTTATTTGGTGATCATCTTGGCGCGTAGGCGCACCTGTTGAGAAGACTTTATGTGAGCTGCATTCCAGGCTACGCATCGCAGTCCACCAAGTCTCCATCGTACCATTTATTTTATCATGTCTTATTTACATTCTGGACAGATGTTGTATTATTATTGTACTCTTTAGAAAATGCTCATGCAGTTGTGACACTGAGTTTGAGGGTTATACTAGTTGATGCTTATGGTTTCGTATATTATTAACGCCATTCTATTCTTTTATAAACTACAAATATTGTATGTTCCAGTAGATTTTGAAGTGTAAAACTCTTTCCTTATTAAAATCTATGATTTCGAAAGTAATAAAATGGGTAATTAAATTGATAAATCACCGTTGACTTGCCTGGCGGCGGCGTTAGGCGCCATCACGACTTATAGTGGATTTTGTGTCGTGACAATAAGNTATATATATATATTCAGTTTGCTTACTTGTAAAACTAAGAATATTTTATAATGAAATTACCATTCACAAACGATGGGCTACAAAGATAATTGAACATCCAGTATGCAACGCTCCATCCTTAGTAGAAGCTTTGTTTAACTTTGCATGTTCACTCTTCTTCTCCTTACACTCAGGGGTGTTCTACTTCGCCAAGAGCTGACTTCAGATATCTTCACGTATCCAATCAGGCCTGGTGCTACCTCTCCTAGCAACATGATGTGAATTTGATATCCGCTTCTGTGCTCTCTTTTCGAAGTTCTCATTCACCATATTTTCAAGTGTAGGCTGCCATACGCATCTAACCTGCAAAATTGAATAAATAATATTAGACGAATGAGGATAAGTATTAATAAAATTAATTTATTCTTACCTTAAATTGTTGCCACATATTCGTTCTGATCTGGTACGGTATCTGTCTCGAGGAATTCTACATGTCATGAAAAAATAGCTTCATAGATTCCACCACCATATGAGTGTCCTGAAATGATGGCAAATTTCAGTATTGGATACATACAAGTATACTTGCCATTTTCACAAGAACGTCTAACTAAAAAGAAGAAAAAAACTAATTAATCTAAACAAGTAAATTTTTAACAAGTCAGTATATACATATTTTATTGCAAAATTTATTGCTAATTTATCTATACCATATTGCAAATTATATAGGTAATTTATACATACTATTTTGCAAAACTAATGCAAAAACAAAACCTGAAAAACGACCAACGGATCTGCTGCCGAACCACCACCGGAGGGGAGATGAGCTGTCATATTCCTGCACCAAAAGCGAGTTAAACAACTTGGGAATAAAAAATTGGGGGGAGGGGGGCTGGACGAGGAAATGGAGCGGGTCAGGGAGAGGAAGTGTGAGAGAGAGGGAAATCATATCTTATATGGTTAGATTAGAGGAGAAAATCAAGAAATAGAGCGGGTGGGGGCAGAAGACAAGAGGGGAGGGGAGGGAAAAAAACTAGAGAAGAAAGAAGAAAAAACGGGTTAGGGTTGTATTAAAAATAGATTTGCGACCAAATCGGTCGCAAATTTAAAATTTGAATTTTCGAATTGTGACTGATTTGGTCGCAAATTCCGTTGACCAGTCAGACCTCGTTTTTTATTGCAGATTCCGACCAAATCGGTCGAAATATTTAATTTATTTTTTTTAATTTTAATTTTTGCGACTGATTCAGTAGCAAACCATAAAAAGAATTTTACGGTATTTTCTGCATAATTGAGCGACTGAACCAGTCGCAATTTTGAGCCAAAAATTAAAAAAAATTAACATGTATTTTTAATAAAGTTTTCGACCGAATCAGTCGAAAATTACGATAGAATTATTCACTTCAAACTTATTGGCCTTGAGTGCAGAAAAATATTTGTTGCACTTCGAACCTTTTGGCCTTAAGTGTAAAAAATTATTATTTTATTTTATAAAGTGGGTATAAGTTCAATTGTAACCCCAAAATCGGGTATAGATGCAAAAGCCACACCCTTTAGTGGGCTGGCCCATAGGCCCATTCATCATTTTTATTTTTGAAGAATTACCCAAATAGCCGCTCACTCTATCACTTAAACCAAAAATAGTCAGTGATTATATAATATATGTATAATTTATGTAATACATGTGTATAATTATATATAATTAATATATAATTTATGTATATTGTTAGAAAATATAAACAATTAGTATGGGCGGCTATTTCCCGTATATATTCAATTATTTGTTGCAGGAACAAAATATATATTCCTTCGCACAGTTCCCAGACCATTCTAGAACTTTTGTGACACAATCGAATAGCCACTTTACTCCCACTTTCGTCTTCATCCGAGAACGTAGGTTTCCTGTTCATGATCTCTTTCTAATATTTCACCTTATACTTGCTGGTAAGTTTTCAGATCATCAGATGTAGAATTGGTATAAACTGACTTTCAAAGTTTCTAAGATTACACTTATTCTAGCTTCTAAGGTTCAGAATTTTGAGATTTTATAAAATAAAAGCTAAGTTGGCTTAGTAGAATTAAAAATTGGCCGCCATTCACGTGATAATAAGGCCTGAATTAAACTTCTAATGCTTGTGCCTTGGGGATAATCATCCTATTATATATTGCAGTACACTCTCAAGTTCTTCACGTTTTAAGATATGACTATTCATATACGGTGTGTGCATTTGACTGCAAGCTCTTTGATTTCTCCGTTTTTTGAGATTAAATAGAGAAGAAAATCTTGAATAGTGTATGAGTTTGTGTACATGCAATTGGTGACTGTTTCACTACTGTGTCAAAAATTATTTGATGATGAAGCAAGCTCAAATATTTTATTGTGTTAGACCAGACCTATCCAAATTCAATCTGAAAGGAATACCAAATCTCCTAAGATAATGTAGGACCTATCCTAGTTCTTTCCTCTTGTAACCACAATTTGAATTCCAATTATAGATTATATAGTTACTGCAATTGTAATTATCCACATGCTGTAATTTTATCTGCATAAAAGGATCGAAAAGAGACTCAAAGAAAGTCAAGGAAGTCCCATTACATAGGCTAACTTGTTCCTTATGTTTTAGCTTTCTTTCTTCACTGTGTTTATGCTTTAATAAATCTCAGGTCCTCAACATATGAGATTTTCTTGAGGGTTTTGGAATAAAACTTGCATCAGTTATCAGCCAAACAAAATGACTACTTCTAAAGAAACCAAATTGAGCATGAAGCTTTTGATTGACACCACGGCTCGCAAAGTCCTATTTGCTGAGGCTGAAAAAGATTGTGTTGATTTCCTCTTTCACATTCTCTCTTTGCCAGTGGGAACTGTCACTAGACTTCTTAAGGAGAAAGAAATGAAATGTGGATGCTTGCCTAACCTCTACGAAAGCGTCGAAAATCTTAATGACAAGTACATTCAATCGAACCAATGCAAGGATATCCTTTTAAAACCCAAATCTTCAGTTGGGAATATCACGTCAGTTCCTTTTCTATTGCTTAATGACGTTCCGACACCTGAGAGGAGTTTCTATTGTTGTTCCTACAATAGTGGTCACTATACTGTTTCTGATGACCCTAGTGCTCTATGTCCTACTTGTCAGTATAGTATGTCAAGAAAGTTGACGTATGTTGCTCCGCCGGATTCAAAGGAAGCTGAGGCAGCTACTGGTGGTTTTGTGAAGGATGTAATCACATGTATGGTGACGGATGACTTAGTGGTTAAGCCCATGTCCACCATTTCTAGCATTGCCCTTCTCAACAAGTTTAGTGTCCGGGATATTGCTGTGCTGCAGGAGGAAGTAGTAAGTATTGGAATGGAAGAGGTAATCAATTATACTGTGAACTTAAAGAATTCATATACCAACACTGTGTTTTAATCTGTTGTAGCATGTTTTTAGGCTTCCAATCTCACATATTTTGATCAGTTGCATATTGTTTGTTTAGGTGACCCAATAGTATTAAAATATGTTTACACTATTCATGTGTTTGAAAATAAGCTCAATAAATTTTGCTTGTGTGATATGTCTTTTTGTATTTCCTTTTTTCTTTGGGTAAGAAGTATTTCCTACTTAGTGAACTCCCACTATCATTTTGCAGGCGCTGGAGTTGCTGAAAGCATCTTTCGAGTCGAAAACAGTTCTGACAAGTGTTTTCATGAGCCGCATAAAAATGGAGAAATAGTCATAAGAGAAAATGGAATTGGGTGTTTCAGTTGAGTAATTGCCTTAAGTAGTAGTGGTTTTCTTTTGTTTCATTCCCGCTTGAGTTGATTCTGATTTGTAGGTTCATCTATTGTTAAATCGTACTTATGTATAGCTTGAGCTTCTTATGTCCTCTGTTTTCATCTTGTGTTACAGAGCATAGCTCCCTTGCGCTTCCACAATAGTCGCTATGAGTAGCCATTGGAAGTTTGTAAGAGTAACCTTGAACATCATTGTTCAGCCACTTAAGTTGCTCAGATTTCGTGTCTGTTTATCCACAATGCAATTCCTATGGTTTGGTTTTGACTTCAAGTTCTTCTGAATGGGCTTTGCCTAAAAATAGGGATTTTTATACAAATAGTCGGTGGAATTCATTACTTTTTTTTAGACGGTATATACAAATTATATAATGATTATACATATGTTACATATTTGCCTTTGTTTAATCACGGCTATTTAGGTTAATTCTGCGAAAATCTTTTAGGAAGTCATGTACACATCCCCACATAATCGTATTTTCCGTACCTATATCTTATTGAGAGGTCAAACTACACGTATTCCAAGCACTTTACATTACAGCTCCTACTGCTCATGCAATTCATACAAGCGAGTCAACCTGTAGCTAGGACCCAATTTATGGTTTCGTATCCTCCCTGCCCAAGATTGTATATTCATTTAAAGCACAAAAAGAGAATGGACGA